CACTGGACCTAGTCTCTTTTTTCAATATAGCCTCTCTTTGCTTTCCTTGGGAAGGAAATACACTGTCCCTGGGGACAGGATCATAAAACAAGTTAGGTGACACCACTGGGTCATGAACTTGAAATCATTCCTTCTGTGAAACACCCCATCCTGTCCATGGACTATAGAGACAAAAGCAGAAGGACTCTTTGTGGATCTAGCTGGCATCCCAAATATTTCTCCCATTAAAGTGGATGGTTTTCTGCTCTGAAAAGTACCAAGTGACTGTGACTCTCTCTTTGAGTCTCAGCTCTGGAAGCGTGGCATCAGCTTCAACTTACCCGAGCTTTGTTTCCTCCACAGGATCCTTGTGCAAACAGAATCTTGACTGTCAGCTTTGATGTACTCGTTTCCATTGAGGGCCCCCAAAATAGTAGCCATTAGGGTTCCATTTTATACCAATATTGTCCCCATTTACAGTGATAATATCTGACTCATGCAGCATTTTATCCGTATTAAGAGCCCTGTGGAATTGGATGCTGCTGCTGCCTGCGTATTGCAGAGGTGCAGATGTTAAATAACTTGTCCAAGGCAACACAGCTCGTTCGTGGTGGGAGCCAGGATTCTACACTCAAGCAGCCTGGCTCCAGAGCCTGTGTTCTTGGCTGCTCTCACCCAAGTACCATTTTACTTTATCAGACTAGTCACCCAGCAAGAAAAACAGCAACAAAAGGGGTGATCAGTATGCTTGCAGCAAGCTTCTAGAAGACCTTCACTTTAGTCCCCTCCACGTCTTTGGGTGTTGATCCCATCTGCTGCCCTTCAGTGAGAGTTTTCCTTGAGTTTCTGGGAAGGGCTCACTTCCTAGCTTAGCGTGCAACCAAACCACTTGTGTGCGAAGCGCTGTCCGGCTTTCGAATATGGAAATCTCTCGCGAATTCTGCATGTGGATGTGGTTTCTTTCATTTGCCACCCACAGCACTGCTTCTGAATCACATCACACAGGCTCTTCTGTTTCCAGGAGCGCAGCAGCCAAAACAGCAACACGAGCCAAAAAGCATCGGCAGAGAGAGGCCGCCCACCCCAGCGTGGCTCCGTGGCTCCGTGTCACCTAGCTGACCTTCTGGCTGTAGAAACAGGCCTGCTGTAGGTCTCCGGGTTTCTCTGCAGGGGTGCTGGGTACTCTTCGTTGCCATTCAGCACCCACGTGCTGCCCAGGTTTTGGCAGAGAACCTAGTTCGGAGATAAGGGTTGGAAATGCGTCGCCCTAGGATTGTCGCTCAGGCCTGGAAACTATTTGCACTGATAACTACAAGCAGTTGTGTGTCTAAGATCACTCAGCCTGGCGGGGACTGGGATGGGAGCACAGGGGAGGGGACGGAGCAGTGCCATTTAAGACACTCAGTCTTATATGAGTGTCTAACCACTATGGTGTAACGTGAAACTAATACCAAATAACAGTGAACGAAAAGAGTAATGGGAAAATTTAAAAAGGTTAAAAAAATTCATTAAAACACTGCATCCGCCAGTGGAAAAACCTGGAATCCAAAGACGTGCAGCCTTGCTGGGGAAGCTTTGACACGCAAGATCAAGTTCGATATATTGGTTTAGGAAGGAGAGCGAGCTGCTGCTCTCCTTATGAGCGGATTGCTTACACGGTGCAACTGCTCAGACACTTCGGCTCCTACTTCCTTTGAAATAAAATCAGAGGGAAAGCTCTAGGTGCTGGCTTACTTCTCACACAGCGTCAGCGCTGCTCCCTACAGACCTTGCTGGGCGCGCCAGGGACAGTGCTTTCCCCGCTCTGCGCCGAGGGCACCAGTGACCCTTCCTGCCCGAGCTGATCAGCAGCCGAGCCCTCGAATGGGAGGCTGTTTCTTCACACCCTTTGCTTAGAATTTTCTCCAACAAGTGTGTTTGAATTGCACCGTTTCCTTTTCTGTCCGCTCCAAATGCTCTCCGCGCCGGATTCCCACATGGCTGAAGCCTCCGACATACCCAGAGTTTTGCGCGTGGGCACCCCCCGCGATTGGGATCTTTCTGAGTCGGCCGGTCTCACATCCCCTCTCCCCCCATGGTTTCCCCCCATTAGGCAAATGGGCGGCCCAGCCACCTGTTAGCTATTACATCACCGCCTCCCCAGAACACAGTTGCACCAAAGGCCTTAAACAAAGTCCTTCTTCTTGTATTGTTTGCACTCAAAGAGCTGATATCATGCCAACTGATGTCATTGTATGTCTTTGTGTAACTGCTATGGCAACTGGGCAGGTGGGGAGCCTCCAGCTGATGTCATTGGGAAAGGAGGTGTAGAGACAGAATTTTAAAAAGCTCTAGGCTGCTTTTTTCTGTGCGGGGGGTTTTCTGGCGGGCACTTTTTTTTTTTTTTAACTAGCTGCTTTTAAGACAAATTACAGCTCGTGTGCCCTAAATAAGAACAGAGAGGTTATTTTTTTCCCTTCCTCCCCCTACCCTCTTAGAAACTTCTTTTGAGTTCATTTTGTTGTTGTTTCCTCTCATCATATATGGAAAAGTGTAACAACTGCCTTGTTCTTTGGGAAAAAAAGTGAATTAGGTTCCCATCACAGAATCTGTGCGGAGCTGTTTACTTGGACTTTATAGAGGCCAAGCTGAGCAGATTTTCAAATAACTCTTTATCTGTTGTATAGAGCTTGTGAGGGGGGCAGTGGGTAATTTCAGTTTCAGTGTTTTTTCACTAGTGAAGTTTTTCAGGCTTTCCATTTTTTGTTTACTTTAAAAATGATCTCTTTGAGCCCAGATGAACTTTTTTATTTACCATGATTTCATAGCAAAATAAACTAATAATATGTAAGGGCAGAGTTTAATTCTAGAAATCAACTGAAGTGAATTTATAGCTCTTGTTTTTCTTTTCAAAAAGAAGAGGTAGGTTTTGACACTTAGACATGAGCGAAGTGATTCTAATATTACCACTTAGAATATTCTCAGGGTCATTGCAGGACCTTAAAATATGCCCTCCCTGGTTGACATGGCCAGATCCACGTGCGTTGGCCGTAAACAGCCCTGACACTTGGTCTAGGTTACAAGCTAGAGCTTCCTGCAGCCGTTGCTAAAGATGAGACTTGAAGGACACACATTCAGCTCAGAAACTGGTGGCCAGCTAGACTTCCTGTCCTTGTTTCGACACAGCCACATCCTGTTCGCCCTTTTGTTTCCTGCCTCACCTCCTGAAACCACTGAGGCCGATGTAAAGCATCTACCTAGGGGGGTGAATGTTGTGTTTTGGTAGCTGTCAGCTTACGGGAGATCTCCAGCATGCTCCGCTTTTCGAAGGGAAGGCCAGAGTGTACCTACTTCTGTTTGATTTGAATTAGAGCTAATTTGGTGGTTAATAATGTTTGATCGCATGGCCCTTACTTGTATATTGTATAATCTGACCCTCATAATAATCCTTTGGGCTCATCCACATGTGTGATATATCTAACAAATACTAAAGGAAAAATTTAAGCAAACTATGATCCATAAATTCCCTAACTTAAATCAGTGTTATTTTGTGTATAGTCTTTCAGTTTTTGATCCTGTGGATGGTTTTGAATTGGCTTTTTTTCATTCAAAGATACAGAAACAGTATCTTTCCCTCATTTTTTCACAACCTTGAATGGCTAGATGATATTCCATGGGGTCACTATGTCAATTTCCCCCTTAACTTTTTTAAAACTTTGGCCTTTTTTATAAAACAGATAATACTGTATCCAGCTGATTCCCTTAAGATAAATGCTCATCAGCTATGCTCCCCTGGTTGAGGGGGTGGTCTGCATTTAAAAAGTGGGGAAACTGGTAGTTTTCAGCTTTTTCCACTAGACCCGTAACATCCAGGAGGCAGAACCGAGCCTTAAGCTAGCTCGAAGGTGTGTATCCCGGTCTGCTAGAGGCTTCCTGATGGAGAGGCGGGAGCAAGGATCCGGGCTGCTCTCACACTGCCTCCTACTGGAAACCTGCATTGAAAACTGTCAGAGATCTCCATGGAGCGTATCAAAAAAGAGATCATAGGGAAAACTCAGAAACCTCCCCTCTCACCTCCCTGTATTTTGTTTTTTTCCAAGCATTTCGCTGCTGCTTCCACAAGGAGGCAATCACATAAATAATAATAAAAACAGCAAATCCTTGCTGAGTGATGTGTGTGCCAGGCAGCGTGCTGAGTCCTTCCATGTATTCATTCATTCCAGGCTCCCAGTCACACCAAGGGGTAGATGCCATGACCCTCACGTTACAGGTAGGGGAACTGAGGCACAGAGAAATGAACTTCTGCCCGTGACAGAGCCAGGCAGTGGTGGAACTGGGGTGGGAGCCAAGGTAAACTGGTTCTCCCAAGATCCCTGCTCATGCCCACTGCGCGGTGCTGGGAGCGAAGCTGTCATTCTGGGTGAGGTGAGCTTAGCAAGGGTGCAAGTCACATGCCTGCAGCGCCAGGCTGCTGGCAGAAGTCCTCCGCCCCGAGGTCATCGTGCCTTCCTCAGCTCCCAAGGTGCAAGGTTCTATATAGGCCACTGAGCACATGGCTCTGTGCTCAGATCAAATTAGCTGCTGATGAAATTGCCTGATGCTGCGCCGAGCTCCTTGCAGGGGAACATGCCCCAGTTTGTAGAAAGAGCACATTTCCCAAGTACCGTGTGCAGCGACGTCCTCCGAAGCATGTCCTGAGTCTCCAGATGGACTTATTTTATTTAAAAGATATATATAGCCTGGCTGGTGTGGCTCAGCGGTTGAGCATTGACCTAGGAACCAGGAGGCCCAGGTTCGCTTCCCGGTCAGGGCACAGGCGCGGGTTGCGGGCTCGGTCCCCAGCAGGGGGTGTGCAGGGGGCGCTGGTCCATGACTCTCATCATTGATGTTTCTCTCTCCCCCTCTCTTTCAAGCCAATACAAACATATTTTTTAAATAGTTATATTAAATTAAATTAAAATAAAAAATAGTTATGCACGCACACCCCTTCCCACGGGGACAGCGGCGCTCGGGTCGTCACTGTCGCCGTGTCTGTGTTGCAGGTGGGCTCAGCAGCTTCAAGCAGAACCATGAGAACCTCTGCGACAACTCGCTGCAGCTGCA